CAGGGCCATTTCCTTGTAGCTGCCCACATTAAATCCGCACAGCTCTCCAGCTGCCAAGCTGATGGCTTGATCAGAATCATTGACGAGCCACAGCCCGTGCGCAGGGGCCAGCGTCGGCTCAGGGGTTTTCCTTGAACCCTGGGGCTCTGTAAGCCTTGAACTAATACCTACATCCTGCGTTAAAGTTGGCAAATATTACCTACATTAGGCTATTGGCAGCCCCATAAACCGCAAACTGTAACCTTTCGGCGCTCAGGGTGAAGCACCATTGCATTTAGGGAACCCATCGGCTAATCTCTTAACTAACAGGCCAAGAGCTTCCGAAAGGCGCAAGACGTCTATGCCCTGTGCAGAGTTCAGGCTTAGAGTTTAATCCCAACCCTGACCGCAAGTCCCCGAATCCTAAACTCTTATAAATGACTTCTCGTGTCGCACGCATGTGTGCGTCTATATAGACTCTGCCAGAGGAAGCGCAGGAATCCGCTAATCCCACCCCTTGAAAAACAGTCGAACAGACCGAACAAACATATGGATGATCAACTCAACATACACGGTTTAGGGTTTAGGGGTATTGAGGTTATATAAGGACTACTATCAGGCTTATTAACCTAAAGTCCAAGTACTCGTCATAATAATGAGAATACTACTAGTAATACTCGCAATAATGAGAAGAATCAGACTAATTTTGAACTAGCCCAACACGCGTACTACAATTAGCAGAAAATCCCAAGTACCCAACTATTGAGTACATGAAACCCTGTAAACCCTAAACCCTAACTCCGAAACCCTCAACCCTAAACCCTGAACCCTAAACCCGCTAAACCCTACATCCTAAACAATAAGTCCTAAAAAAACGCGTGGGTTATACGGACCCATAGGATGAGAATCGACTTAGGGTTGGCTCCGCGCACGGGATCTCGGGTAGGGTTTGAGGTTTAGGGTTTAGGGTTTAGGGTAGGGACTAACATACTCCACCCAAAAAGGAACTACATAGGAGGTTCTGGGTGACCTGTACCTGCAGACCTACAGTAAATGCCCATAAACCCTAAATCCAAGACCCTCAACCCTAATCCCAACACCCCTTAAACACAAAACACTAAACCCTAAAGCCAAAAGGTACAGTGAACCCCCTATACTTTCATTGTTCTTAACTTAACGTCTTCACCACTAGCTGTCGCTGGGGTTCCACCAAAACTCTTAAAAAACAAACTCCCAAGACCAAGCCCCGACAAAAGTAGAGGAAACATAGCCCAAGTACTCAAGCCTAAACCCCTAAACCCGAAACCCTATCGTCCACAGACCAATATCCAGCCTTCACATGCTTGAGCCAATCATCGATAGAGGTCATAGATGCTTCTGGCAATTTGGTGTCTTCAGACAGGCGTGACCCGTACTTCAGATATCTTGCCTTGCACCATGCCTTGAGATCGGCCTGGGTCTTCGAGGGTAAGGCCGATTTTGGGTCAACATGGACCATGAACGCGAAGAGATTGACGTACTGTTGTTTGGGGCCTTTGCGAAGACTTTCAAGCCACTCAGCGAGCTTCGGGTTGAGAAACTTCGTGAGGCCAACCAGCAGCTCTTTGGACAAGAGATTACATTTGTTCGCACTGATAAAGGGCAGGGCTTAGGGTCTAGGGGATTCAGGGTTTGGGGCTTAGGGGATTCAGGTTTTGAGGTTAGACTTCAGGGTTAGGGCAGAATGTGGCTTCCAAAATTGCGAATCCTGTTTTCGGACGAACTCTACATTTTGGGGATATAAAAGGGTAGGTTGTTGCAGTAATACCCAGATGAACTCTTTTCCCATACTGGAGCCCAAGCCGGAAATCCGAAAACCGGAACCCTGATTGCTTTATCTGTACGCTTTAGGTGGCTCTTAAATCCTGCTATTGTTCTGTGAGTGCAGAACCCTGAACGCAAAGCGCTAAACCCTGAACTTCGTCATGATTCTGAGGTGGCGACGTGCGAACAGCTCTCGAAGACTTGCACGACTGGAGGATCGCGGAGAACTATCACCTGTCTTGCGAATGGGTCCCAGACTGCCGGGCTGAGCGTAGTAGCAGTGAAACTACTATTTAAAGGTTGTAAAAGTAGAGGTCTAAACAGAAAATATGACAATAATAGTGTATTAATTAGTAATAGAAATAGTATATTAGCAATACTAATAGCAATGGTGATAGTGATAATACCATGAACTCCTGGATCCCTGGATCCTGAACCTGCCCATGAAGCAGGCATCTCGTCCTCGTAAGAGCAGACCATTGCAGGAACACCCCACTCCGGCAGATTTCTTTTGAATCTGTAAGTAAGTTAGGAAACAATACTGTTCTCTGACCCTAGGTAGGCGTCCAAGGACCCAAATAGTAGGGCTTTAGTTGGGGCCCACAGACTTTCATATTCATTGTATTTGTGCCCTAAAACCCTATTATTTAGGTCCTTGGACCATTAGGGTGAAAATAGCAGTTAAATGACAGAACGTAGGACATGAACTTTTTATAACTCTGGTTTCCCCTGCCTAGCCCTAAACCCTACATTGACCAGCATAAAATCTCAATATCCATATGGCTTTCCATGTGTCTGGGCATGTGTCTCTCCGTGATTGTCAGCCCTAAGCCCAAAGTTCCGAAGCTCTGCATCCCAAACCACCCAAAAAATCAGGCTTTCAAAAACAAAAAAGTGTTCCTCAATATGCCCAACACACTTTAAACCTTATCATAGGTAGCCCGACCCAAAGCGGGGTCCTGGATTTTGGGAAGCCTCGGCCTAAAACCTGTGCCAGTAGACCCTGTATATCCTATCCCTGATCTTAGGAAGCCCTTAAACTCACCCGAAATGAACACTCTAAACCCTAAATCCATAAAGCTGAAACCCCAAATTCCTCAACCCCTAAACCCGAAACCCCATAACCCCGAACCCAACCAAAACCCTATAACCCTAAAACCCCAAATTACCCAAACCCTTGCAACCCGCCTCGACGCCTTCGATCTCACAGGCCAGATGCACCATCCTCTGCACCCGGTGGCCATGATTGGGTTTAGGGTTTACGGTTTAGTCTTTCGAGCGTTAAGTGGGTTGCTGTTCAGGAACTTATCCGGGAGACCATCTGATTCACTATATATACCATTATGGTAACTGAAAATAAATTCCTTAACAGCAACCCACTTAAGTTTAGGGTTTAGGTTTAGGGTTAGGGTTCCCTGGACCCTAAACCCTAAACCCTAGGGTTTTGGCAAGAACGACTTGGGGCTGACATGGGCTAACGCGCTCCTTCAGGTAATTGCCCCATCCCTAGCAATGTGTGATACGGTTCAGTGGGTTGCTGTTAACAAAATTACTTTAAGTTACCATGATGGATATATATATATATTGTGAATAAAAGAGTTTCCCCAATATAGTAACTTAGTCTAAATTCCATAACAACAACCCAGGTATGGGGAGGGGGCTGGTCATAGATATAACTCACTTGCCCTACACCCGCAACACTAAACGCTGTGAAGGTGGGCTTGGGGATAATTTCACCATAACCTACTGGTTCTTCGTAGGGAATATGGGAATATATTCTATTGGGGCTTCTGTTTCCATACTCCCAAATAAGAACCAGAAAGTTAAGCCTGTAAGCACAGGAGAAGCCTATAAGAGCAGTGGGTTTCATAGAGGTTTGCTACCTCCCCATTCAGTAACATGGAACCACGTATTGCCCAGTGCTCCCTGTACAAAAGTCTTTGTACGACCCATGTTCATGCTAGCTTTAGGTAGGGTAATCTCCTTAAACCCTAAACCCCTACACCCCAAACCCTGAACCCCAAACCCTAAACCCCTAAGCCCTGAATTTAACCCTAAACCTAAGCCCCAAATCCTAAAAATCCTAAACCCCTAAACCCCAAATTCTATGCAACAAGGGCGTGCCTGTCTGAGCTCTCCAGCAGTCGGCTGCTTCCGAGGCCTGATGGAAGACCTGTCGCTCATAAAACCTATACAACCTATATGATCCATATATATATATATATGTATGTCCCTATATATTCCCCCTTATAACCTAGGTGACCCCTAAATGATATCACCCCTATATATATAGGGCTCGTTCTAACCTTCATGCATTTCACCTTTCAACAACCCTTGCGCGCAAGCATTGCTGATGCAAAGACCTCTTTGACGACACCCAATAATGATTACCAATAAGAACAAAGCTGGACAATGCCTGCCTACCGTAAACCCCAAACCCTAAACCCCAACCCTAAAACCTAAACCCTTAACCATTTGTCTCAAAAACCGCAGGCCTCCGGCTGCCTTTGCCTCAGCTGTCCATTCTTATTGAGTTTGGCCAAAGGTTGTTGCAAACTATCATTATGAACTGCGTCCAGTCTGGCCCTACGGTGGATGCCAAAAAACATGCATGATCTCAGCGGCTAATTCTACTGCAGTACCATAGTTCCCCAGCATAATCCCCTATGGTTTAGATATTCATGGGCTCTTAGCTCCTGATGTAATATAGACTATTCTTTTCTCCTCAGCTCTCCCCCAAAGGTATGGGTAGACGAGGTACTTAGGCACATGCAGGATTGCTAGTGTCAAGCGTACGACCCCTGCATCTTGCCCTGTGCATTTGGGCATTTTCGATCTGGCGTTGCTTGTGACGCCCTCCATCTCAATGGTAGACTGGGTTGCGATTCAGGAACTTTACCTAAGTTAAGGCCTTAAAGTCCTATAGTCTTATGGTGTTATAGTGTTATAGTAGTATTATAGTGCTCGGGGCTAGCCTTGTAGCCTGAATCAGGAATACAAGGCATCCGGTGATCTGCCACATCCAGCATCCAGGAATGGCTGTCTTGTCCGCATACAAGAACATCTCAGTTGGTAGGCTGTCCCCGGATCCTCCGGCAAATGCGGCTGACAGTCGCTGCAGCTGTTGCATATGCGAACCTGGGAAGCCACCAGCGCCGCAGGACGAAGAACAGGCTTACAATAAGCGTGGTAAAAAAGACGGCCAAGACAGCCGACAGTCAAGGCGAAGGCTTCATGGATCTCTCAGGAGCAAATATCAAGTAGATAAAGATTGCATCGATGAACAACAACGACAGCACTCCGATGACAATACAAGCACAGATTGCCACCCCAAACCGCGCGTCAACCTGCGCATCCAGCAGCACCTGCAATGACCTGAGGTCACGGCTTGCGAATGTGTTTCTCAAAGCAGTACCTCCATTGTTTGTGACCTCGTTCACGTTGGCCCGGGCTTCCAGGAGCAAACGTGCAGATTCTGCGTTGCCATGGAAAGTGGCATTCATCAGGGCAGTGATGCCATTGTTGGATTTCACGTTCACGTCCGCCCGAGCCTCCAGCAGCAAGCGTGCAGCCTCGTCTTGTCCTTGAAGGGCTGCCTCGAAAAGAACCGTCGTACCGGTGCTTGATGCTAAGTTGGGCTCGGCCATGGACTCCAGCAAAAGACGCAAAACCTCCAATTGCCCCTGCGTTGACCCCATGTCACGGCTTACGAATGTGTTTCTCAAAGCAGTACCTCCATTGTCTGCGACCTCGTTCACGTTGGCCCGGGCTTCCAGGAGCAAACGTGCAGATTCTGCGTTGCCATGGAAAGTGGCTTTCATCAAGGCAGTGATGCCATTGTTGGATTTCACGTTCACGTCCGCCCGAGCCTCCAGCAGCAAGCGCGCAGCCTCGCCCTGGCCTCGACGGGCTGCGTCGAAAAGAGCTGTCGCACCGCTGCTTGCAGCTAAATTCGGCTCGGCCATGGCCTCCAGCAGGAGACGCACAACCTCCACGTGCCCTTGCGCAGATGCGTGCATAAGAGCTGTAAAGCCTCTGGCATCGAATAAGTTTGGATCCTGTGGCTCTTCCAACAGTGCCTCCACTTCTCGTGCTCGGCCTTGTAAAGCGTGTGTAACGAGTAAGCTGGGCTGACTTTGGGAGTCAGTGGTGAACTCACGCACCAGCAGTTGAACATGTACCAGTGAGGCCACTGCAGCACCATCTTCCAGAACCATCTCTCCGTAAACAAGTCTTTGCCGGAATCTTGGTATGTTCAGGAGCGCCTGTAAGCTTCGCCTTACTTCTGTATGAAAGCCGACTCCAAGGAAGTGAACACATTAAACGCTGTGGCATTTAGGGAATCACCATGTCCAAAGCCGAGCTGGTCGACAAGCAAGCGTGGCTAGTACATGGTTTTTTCTCCCTGAAAATTCACCTCTTAAATGCTCAGTAAGTTGCTTTACGCTCTTCACGTCGTCATGCTCTGCCTTAGGAATCTCCACCTTGGGAAGTTCGCTTGGGATCTAGAAGTTGTCTAAATTTACATACGCAACTACAGTCAAATTGAAAACCGAAGTGCAGTACTAACAACAACTAAGTACTGCTGCCTCAGAATATACTGCTGCAAAAAAGTATGGGGACACGCTACCCATATACCTTTCACACTGAGCAGTACTACTACTTTAACAACCGCGATGTTGATCGCAAGCGAAACCCAAGCCAGCCTGCTCGCCGGAAAGCTTCCAAACATGCAGCATCTTGACCGGCGCTTTAGGGTTTAGGGTTTAGGGTTCAGGATGTAGGGTTTAGGGTTTAGGGTTCAGGGTTCAGGGTTTAGGGTTTAGGGGCGGCAAGGAAGGGAGCGCGGTGCTTCAATATACTCTGGGGACTGTGGATGGAAACCTTCCCTTTTTGTATCATCTAGGATTTCGACCGTTGATTTTTAGATTGTGAGCCCGCTTGAAAGATTAAACCACCCCGCGGATCTCTCATCTCTTATGAGCAGCTGGACATAGATGAACCTCTGTGGCACAAGTTGCACAAGTATACTACACCACTGTACTCTTACATCGCTACTGCTAGCCTACTAGCCCCAGGACGCAGTCATGCAGCTGGAGCTACATGCCCGCAGGAGAAACCGGCAACAACATGTCTGCCGTATTATGGATACAAAGTAAATAATGATGGGCTGGCTTGTAATGGTGACTAAGTTCTAGTTCCTTAGCAACAGCCCAGTAGAGCCTGGTCCTCCAACCCGAGCCGGATGTATGGAACAAGCCCTCTCATGCGTTTCACAAAGCTGCTCTTGGTAAACACGTGTTGCAACTCACGCCTAGGCTCGTGGGATCAACCTCATGCTTTGCATCAGCTTCCGAGCTATCGTCGCAATGCCAGGCGACACCAGGCAGGTTTCCAAAGAAAACTGTACACTGGAGCCGCAATTAAGGCATCTGTCATGCTAAGCTGCTAGCGTTACAGAATCTGCATAGGATGCACAGCCCTCCCCGCGGCTTCGAAGAGCATAACTGCACCTGTTGGCTCCGTCGGCTGGATCAGCTTGACGGCATCCCAGATCAGGCAACAGTTCAGAAGAGGAGTGATCAGCACACCCCAGGAGAGCAGCGGCGGCCTCCCTTCTTTTGCGAGGAACACCATCCCAAGGTTCATGAACGAGTCGAAGATTGAGAACATGATCAAATTGCATGGGAGGTGAATCATGAGAAGTGTGAGCAGGAGCGTCAGCAACAACATGAAGATCAGGCCAATGCCCACAACAAGGACGATGAACCCAAGAACAACCCAAGGGTCATTACTGTAAATACCGCGCGCAAACTCCATGGCAAACTGCACGACTAGGAAGCAAGGAAGCAAGAGCATCCAGAAGATGCTCCGCCATGCCTTGAGTACGGTAATCTGCTCAAAGCTTCTTCTCCTGGTTCGGCACAGCAACACCAAGGTGAACACTTCAGCTTGCCCAGGAACTCAAAATGGGAAGACCAGTACATACGGCAATAGGACGCAGAAGGCCATTGGTCACCCTGGACTGGGACCAGCTCGGAGCTCATCATGACTCACGCTCTTCTAACGGAAACCTTTTGAGTTAATGGAAAATAAAATGGAAACTACTATAATGGAGAATCAAATGGAAAAGAAAATGGAACATGAAATGGAAACTGGGTTTAGGGTTTAGGGTTTAGAACCTCACAAAAAATTGAGCCAACTGCTTGCGGCACTGGACCAAGTTTCCATACGGGGCACGTGGGCACTTTGAATCGCGTTGCGGTGCACGCCTCACATTTCAGGGTGGGTTAGAATGTGTGCTCATGTGTTGAAATCCATTCCCACGTCCCAAATAAGCAAGAGGATGAGTAAGACCTGAGTCAGACAGACTGGGTTGCTGTTATGGAAGTTAATTCTAAGTTACCAGGATATGGGTATACAGTAGATCAAGGGGTTACCTTATTGTAGCTTAACCTCCTTAACAGCAACCCTGCAAAGGCACAGCTACCGACCCGGAAGGCTCGGTGCAACGCGGCTTCATCAAGCCAGGAGCAGCGCGCGCCACGAGCCTCGTACGATTTTGTTGCTGTTGGCTTGCATTTGGTTCATTTGGGGTTTCCCAAAATTAGGGGTACCCTTTTTGGGGGTCGCCATGTTAAGGGTCATAATATTTTGGGGTCTATAGTGGGGTCCCCTATTTTGGGAAACCTCCATTTATTTCCCGTATGTACCACAGGCTGAGGGCGTGTCTGCAACAACATAGCTACAAAGATTGCATCATAAAGCGCGCTACTCAAAATACGGAAATCCAGGTGAAAGTGCGGCCTTGCTGCTTTGAAGTGTCCCGTCTGCTACTTGCCATTGAAATCAGCTTATAACACCCACATGACTTAACCGTACAACCTAAACGCTACACCCTAAACAATAAACCCTAAATCCTACATCCTAAACTAAAACCCTACACCCTGGACCCTACAAAATCTCCACGAATCCATTCCATAGAAGTACCGCCCCTTTGCGACCCCAAATTTTGGTGTGCTCAAGCACCCTGACTGTTTGTGACTGAGGCTCCAGGTAGGTTTAGGGTTTAGGGTTTAGGTATATCGCGGAACACGACCACTGCTACTGCTACTGCATGACGCTGTAAATCTGAATATTGATGATGAACATGATAGCCTTGAGGAGGAGGAGGCACCGTAGGATTCTATCTCATCATAACACCGGCTTTTCAGTTCCTAGCCTAGCTGAGGCTTCTACCGCAACCGGCGTAGGCCAAGGACGTGGATCTGGCGTCCATCGGTGCACATCACAGCCTGCTTCTGGGTTGCTGTTAAAGGACTTGAAGCAAATTACCTTAATATGGGCCCTTAACCCTAAACCCCTAAACCCTAAACCCCTAGACCCCTAAAAACCTTAAAGCCCTAAACCCCTAAACCCCCAAACCCCCAAATCCGGGCGTCTGGCTTCCGGGAGTTGAGGGTATTGGGACAGGCTTGAAGGGCACCTAGACCCTCCAATGTAGTACCTTTTTGGTAGTCCTTGTAAGAGTCCAAATCAAAAAATACTAAACCTCAAAAAAGGAAATACATTGGAGGGTCTAGGTAGGGTTGTTAAAGTGTTGGTTTATGGGATAACTCATATCTGCCCGAATAGCATCCCTTTCTACTTGAAACCTCAAGGAAGGCTAACATAGTTTCTAGGTCCTAGAACCTGAAACCCAAAAGTATGTAGAGTACTGGCCTTTTTTGGATGTTTCTCAATGTTTGAGCCATTATTCTACCTACTCTTGGGGTTCGGGAAATCATTGACCCTATTAGCTTCTTGAGGTCCCGGCGCTGGCCGGCAAGGTTCAAGCACTCGCGGTGTTCTGTGCGCTGAACGAGGCCTTATCAGCGGCTTATACGCATTGCAAAGAGCAGTACCTAGACCTAGACCACCCAAGTTCCCTCTATAGTAGAGCAGACTCTATTTTATGATACTCGGGGGTCCAATTTCCCGCAAATAAGACCTACACAGACTCTATTTTATGATGCTCGGGGGTCCTGGTAGTGTTTTGTGTTCTTGCACTTTTTTCCTTGCCATGCCCGCTGCTGTTTTGATTTCTTACGATGACGGATCCCTTTGGGGGCTTTGTTTTACTGAGACCCCAAGCTTGAGACGGCAACGCAAAATGTGTCGTGAACACCACAGCTCACATTGCCCTCATGTAAAAGGGCCTTGCTGGGAACCCCAAACAGGGAACCCGAAGAATATAGTAGGATTCTCATAGGAATAGATGGACCCTGCTAGGCCTGTGTGGGGTTCCCATTAGTCACTAGTCCTTTTTTCCTGTGCTACAAAGAAAGAAGAACTCGCCAAGTCCGTCCCTCGACCAATGCGAGTGCCAGTGGCTAACCCTCCAACCCGCAACGGAAAGCAAATAGACCATCACATAATACACCCTACAGGATGAAGCCGCTATATCCCTATAACGCCAAGTATACTTCCTATAACTCCTGCACTGGGTAGTCCATATGAAGCTTACCTGGCAGTGCCTCGGTCGCGGGTCAAGTAGCTTGTCTTAGATCCCGACTTGCCAGAATTCCACTGAGCTCCGTGGACTCGCCGAAGATGTCCTGAATAAGGTTTAACAACCCTGAACCCCTAAAACCTAAACCCTAAGCCACTAGACCCTGGGGTCTCTGATCTATAGGGGTTAGCTTGAGGAGCTTTAGTGGGCTTAGTGTTTAGGACCCTCGGGTTCAGTACTGCAAGCATTTGTGCTACCCCAAGCTGTATAGATGATTGACAAAGTTCTATGAAAGGCGTAGCAACATACCTTATAACACTTCCCTCTCCTTGCAATAACTCTTTCGCCCAGGATGGAACTGTACCAAATTGAGAATATCTATGGTTCGCAGCGGCGCGTTCCAGCATAAAGGAAAGGGAGGCTGTTCTTTGGATATCAACGCCAGGGATCCAAATGGCGCGAAGTAGATATTCCACATTAGTGCCCAAAGCTCTCATTCCCAAAGGGTCCATGTAGGTATATGGTATATACTTAGGGCCCGAAGGGGTTCCCATATACCTACTTTAAGGCCCAAGTATATCCCATATACCTACATGGACCCTTTGGGATTGCTTAATCATGGACTCAGAGCCCAAATGTAAGTAGTCATACTTTCAGCTCCACGGGTGGCTATGCGTCGGACTGGATTGGGTCATGGCGTGTCAACGTAAGAAACGACCCAATACCGGCATTGAGGCGCGGCTTCCGGAGACTTAAAAGGTGAGACACCTGCGAATCCGAGGATACAGGGAGCATGAAGAATCCTGAAAAACCTTGGATAAGGCCAGTATTTCGGAAGCTATTATTCCAATTGCTGATACTTCAGGCACGACATGGACAGGAAAGACGCAACGACTCTCTTACTTGCGCCGAGAAACCTTAGCTTAATGAGCCTCACAAGGCAAGACAAGAGGATCTTTTTCCCCTGCTTGAAAACAGAAGTTCCCGCCGTCAAAAAGACATGAAAGCATCTTGGCAAAGAGCCCTGCAAAAATTCCAACCCATGACAAACATTCGGAATCGAAGAAATGGCTCCAAGCCTGTATCAAGACCACATATGGGTGGTTGTCAAAATTATGGCCCCTTTTTTTGGATCCCTATTATAGTACGGCACCTAATATTTAGGGTACCCAAAAAAGGACCATAATTTTGACAACCACCCATATGCATTTGGAGCTAGGGCGCTGACACTGTTAATGCACGAGCCTAAGTAGTTGGCAATATCAATTTGACTGCTATTTGAGGTAGAGTAGCAGTATCCTATACTACACTTATACAGGGAGTCAAGGACTGCCAATAACTCTCCGTTGTTGGGGGACTATCCTTTGATTTAGGCACCCTAACCCTGAACCCCAAACAGTACCTGCCATTTTCTTTTCCAGTATCCCTACATGACTTCTATAGGTCCCCGCATCATCGTGGAATAAACCCCTAAACCCTCAAACCCTTGACCCCCTAAACCCTAAGCCCTAAACGAACCCTAAACCTTCAACTTTGGGTAAGCTCAGATGACACTTTTTGTCCGCCTGGCCTGTAGCTCCGGGGCGTTGGCAGCCCAGCCTGTTCTTACATCATATGGGGGTTTCCCAAAATTAGGGGTACCTATAGTTACTATAATGGAGAATCAAATGGAAAAGAAAATGGAAAATGAAATGGAAACTGAGGATATATAGGGGATTATAGGGTTTAGGGTTTCCCAAAATTCGGGATACCATTTTGGGGGTACCTATAATAAAGACTATAGTATTTTGGGGTCTATATTGGGGTCCCCTTATTTTGGGAAACTACCATATAGGTATTAGGGTTTAGGGTTCAAGGTTTAGAGTTTAGGTTGTAAGGTTTCGGGTAAAGGGTATAGGGTTTAGGGTTCAGGGCTAGCAGGGAATAAGGGAATAGTATGATATAGGGTTGAGTTTTAGTAGCGAAAAAGGCCAAACAATCCCTACATAATCACCCTTTAACATATTCCGTCATTCCCTACTAAACCCAGTAAGCGACTGCAGTGTAAAGGCAGTTCATGGTTTTCTGGCTTGGAGTTGTGATGTTTAGACGGTGAGGGCTTCTGAGGTGTATTTGAGCTGTAGTCTAAACTCCTAGTCGCGCTCCCCTATATAGCCCCCTTTCTAACCCCTTTAAGGGGATTAGACTATAGCTCATGTAAATGCTGAAGCTTCAACCTGAACGAGCGCTTGAGGCTGGACCCAACATCCTCAATCTCCAAACGCTCAAACTTGAACGTAAGCACCTAAAACCCTCCCCATATGGGGATTTCCCAGAATTAGGGGTACCATTTCGGGGGTCCCCATAATAAGGATTATAATATTTGGCG